TATGGGAAGGTGCCTGATGAATTCATGGAACAGCATGGAGGTCATTTTGACAGGAACACAGTGAGCAATGAAGAGGAGAATAGGAAATGAAGTTAGAGAAAATGTGGGAGGAGGACAGGACAGATTATATAGGACTTTCCATTCCATTAAAAGAATTTTGGCCTTTATTGTGAGTGAAATGGGGAGTCATTAAAGGGCCTTGAGTAGAGATGTGACATGATCTGACTTAGATTTTAAAAAGATCACTCTGCTTGTTCTATTGAGAATAGACTGCAGGGGTAAGAGTGAAAGAAGACCAATCAGAAGGCTATCACAATTGTGTAGAAAATGAATCATGCTAGATGTAAACTAGATCATAGTCATAGTTAGGTGAGAGTAGCAGGACTATGGATATATATTTTAAGGTAATAAACTGGTTCACAATAGTGGTTATTATGACAGTAGCAACAGATTAAATGCGATTTGTGAGGGAAAGAAACTAGGTAAAGATGACTGCTAAGTTTTGGCCTGAGCAACTGGAAGGATGTGGTTGCCACTGCCTGAGTACTAGTGGAGTGGGTCTGGGAGCAAATATTAGGAATTTAGTCTTGGACATATTGAGATGTCTATCTGATTTTCAAGTGGAGCTATCAAGTAGACAGTTGAATATGAGTTTTGGGTTCAGGGCAGGCCAGGTCTGAGCTTAAATATAAACTTGGGTGTCATTAGCATATATATTTTTTAGGCCACGAGACTGGATGAGATAATCAAAGGTATGAATGTAGATAGACAAAAGGGCCCAAGATCTGAGCCATGGGGCTCTCCAATGACAATAAATTTATGGAAGGTTAATGGAAGGTTACCAGGCAAAGGAGACTGAGAAGCAGTGACCAGTGGGTTGGGAGGAAAACCAATAGCAGCACAGTTTTCTGGAAGCAGGTGAAGAAAGCATAGCAATGAGAAAGGAGTGATCAATTGTTATATAACTAGGTCAACTAGGAATAGAACTGAGAATTGCCACTGGATTTAGCATTGTAAGGTCATTAGTGTTTTTAAACAAGGGACATTTTGATAGAAGAGAAGGGACAAAAAACATAAATAAAAGGGATTTAAGGAAGAAGAGGAGAACTTAAAACAGCTAGTTTAGATCCAATCTTTTGAGGATTTTTATAACTAAGAGGTAGACAGAAATAAAATTTTTTTTCTCTTATAGATTTAGAAATACTAAAATTTTTCAGGATGCTGAAGATGGTCTTTTCCCCTTCTTAAAATATAGGTTATCAGGAAAGTCATAAGATATTTTTCTGTTTTTCTATGCAAAAATGCATTATGACTTTCCAGAAGACCCAATATGTCATTATTTAGGTTATCTCAGTCATTCTCAAACCTTCAAATGACTTAAGGTTTCAGGAAAAATTAAGGAGTCAGTAATTACTAAATGTGGCAGAGAGATAAGGTAATTTCAGCACTAAAATGTATCCATTGGATTTAATACTCAACATGTAGGTGGAAATGTTTTGGAGTGATTCACCATGCCTTTAATTTTAGTACTTTCCATGTAGAAGTGTTCCAGGGGAGAGTTCACTTGAAGTTGGGTTAAAGAGAAGTGTGAAGAGTGTGAGGTCAGGAAGCAGTTGAACCTGACAAAAGAGTGGGAATATGGCTAGTAGAAATGATGGATTGAAGATAGTCACATGAAGCAGAGCAGTGAAAGGTTTTTGAGGTCAGGAGTTGGACTATGAATCTATGGGCAATAGGAGCACCGGGACAATTTTATGGTTCTATATATGTGACAAGCACTTGGATGAAGTATCAGATGGGACAGAAGGGAAAGAATTGATGGCAAAGATACTTTCTAATAAAGCGACAAGACTTAGAAGCAGACTGGATGGTGAAAAAAGAGAATGTGAGAGTCTCTGAATTACAGGACTTCATTGCTGAGAGGAACTTCAGAGGCCACTGAGTATAAGAGAATATTCTAGAGACAGGCAGGAGTAACTAGTGGGGTTTATAACCAAGGTATTATTAGGCACTGTTGGTGGGCTCTGTAGAGTCCACTGTCACATCAAATCCCTCTTCCTCCCATCTTACCCTGTTCTTGTCTCACCTTCACAAAGCAAAGTCTTGGAGTTGTTAACAAAAATGTGCTTCTGCTTTGATTTTGCCACGCTTTTAGCAGAGACCTAAGGGAGGCACCTACATTCATGCTTTTCTCACCCAATTAATCTCAGTCCCCCCTTTATTTTTTAAAGTTTATTTCCCATGAGCAAGACAGAGAGACAGAGACAGCACCTACAGCAGGGTACCAACTCCATGATCCATCATAGCCTTCAGCCAGCCCTGGTCATGGGTAAGCATGTACCCAGCGTACTCAGGGAGGTCTCCATACTTGAAATGGGTACGTTCCCATTTGGGATTGCCTTGCAGGGCATCATGTTTTACTGCTGTGCTGCCGTCTGAACCTTGAGCCCCCGTTTAATAAAATTAAAGTTCTAAAAATCAAATAGAATACTAGTTTACTTTAAGCTGTGTCAGGAGTGTTATTTATTTATTTATTTATTTGGAGAGATTTTCACTGTAGGGCGCGTGCGCTCGCCAGACAGACAGAGACCTAGAGACAGAAAGCGAGAAATCACCTCCCAGGGGGGATGGTCACGCCGCAATCCCCTCTCCTCCATTCTCCTCTCGGGATCTTGGGCACGCACGCACACGCGCCCAGCGTGAGTTTTAAGCCACCGGGTCCGGGACACGAACCGCGGTCGACTACGTGGGAGTCCAGCGACATAGCCATTACGCTAACTGCTGGTTCCCAGGAGTGTTATTTTTGAATTCAGTTCCAAAGCCAGGTTCCTTCCCAGAAGCCACCACTTTACTGGCACTATCTTCCCTGTCTGCATTCTCAATGCAAAGATGAAGAACTAAAGGATGAAGCCATGAGGGCAAACTGTTTCTCTTACTCTGTGGCTCTAATAGCTCATAACTGAGAAGACCTTGCTGCAGGTGGGGAAAGATTAAAAATGTATTTGAGAGATATCTGTTTCTTTTACTACAGACTATCAAAAGTTGGAGCCTCTTTAAGCCATACATTTCTATATCCATTTAAAGACTGCGCAATAATGTGGTCTATGTGTTATAAATAAGGCATCTGTGCTATTTTTTTTTGGAAATTTAGAAAGCGGACATCCTGTAAAGCCATCTATTACACCCAATCTGGGCATTACAGGTTATGAGCTTAGACCTGATTGAGACAATGAAAGCCTAGTACAAGCTGATTATGCAATGAATGATGAAATCAGCAGGATTCTACCTTTTTATAAGTAGGAGGTTTTAACACTAGCAATACCTAAATGTGTGGTTTTTGACATGAAAAAGTACTATCAAGGATGCACTGTCCAGCTTTCTCTAATCCATAAGTAACACGTTGGAAAAAGGGGGAGGGAAGGCCATCACTCATTTGTAAGGGCAGTGGAACTAAGAGTAGGAGACAAGGCTGTACAGTGCTGCTCATTCGCTTAGGCACTAAACACAAATCCAGGCAGGGTCAGTTTAGCTGACAAGGCCTACAAGGGTCATCTTATTCTCTATCCCCTAATTCTCCTTATGACAATGCTAGATCTTTTCTCAATACAATCTTCTGAGATGTCTACCTCCTAGATCTCTTTTTGGCTTGGAAAGATGCACCCTCTTGACCACCAACTTCAAAAATGAGAAGAAAGCATAAAAATAATTTTTCACTAGCAAAAGGGCCCAAGATGATCTGTCCCACCAACCCTGACTGACCCTACAATCATCTCAGTTATAAGCAGACTAGACTAAGTAAAATATAGGTCCTCTGCCAGAACCTGATTACATGATAAACACATTATTTTTGTTTTTAAATAAGTATTGATTTTACTTTTATTTATTGTTATTATTTTAAATTTTGCTATAGGGAGAGAGAGAGAGAGAGAGAGAGAGAGAGAAAGTGAGAAAGTAAGCCACAGGTCTGGGACTTGAACCACGGTCAGCCATGTGGGAGTTTAGTGCCATAACCATCACGCCACCTTGTGGCCCTGATAATCACTGTTATTTAATGTAGGAGACAAAATACTTGCCTAAAGTCACAGGTCAAAGGTTCATATTTATTGTGATAAGGCAGGTTCATTTGGCCTATGGTCTAAACCCCTAAGTGTGTCCTTTAACAAATTGTACTACAGTGGCAGGGACCTTGGTCCACCACCAGACACCACTAAAACTATGGAAAGAGCATTAGTGAGGCTTGGAACATGTGCAGAAGTAGCATCTAATTATTTAAAGAATATAAAACCCCGAATGAATCTGGAAAAAAAGTTTGAGTAATTATTATTGTTGTTATAATTTTCCTGAAATATAGCCACTATATCTCTACCAATGTTTAAGAGCAAGTCTAAGGAGAAGTCTATTCATTACTGACAAGACGGATCCCTAGATCATTTCCATGTGAACTGCACTGACTCAGTAGCTACAAGTAGTCTGATTTAGTTTCAATATTCCTCATATTCCTCTTTGCCCTTCCAACAAGCTGAACCACAGCTTGCTGTATATTTCAGCCCATCATTTGAATAGTAGTATTTCAAGTTTTGTGTGAATAGCTCGTAGCGGTGGAGGCTTCTTAGCACCAAACCTACATTTACCTGTACCTCAAGTAGGCTCAGACTACACTCTCTCCCAGCATGTGTGCCAGTTATGAAAAAGAGAGACTGCAGATCACAGTGCTGAGCAATTTTGTGTTGGGTGCATCCTTTTCTACTAATACACTTGAATTCCTTATCAGATAGCATTAATAACATGTTATATTATTTGCACTGCAACTTGTACACAAAAATCTAGTGTTCTGTGCATAAAATTCAGCCTTGCCTATTAAGAAAAAAATTTACCACCTTGTGTTTTCTAGGTAACGCTTACATACATCTACAAAGCCCTTAGGTATTCTTCTGAAAAAGAAGAAAGCATTATTATACACCAAAACCATTGTGGCTTGTGGAGAAAAAGCAGAATATTACTTGGATTTGGAGGGAAGAGTGTGCAGCTTTTACAGTGTATGATCTCTTTCACTACTGGCATATCTGGAGGAATTGGAGGAGGTACTATTCCCAAACCAGGCATCATTGGAGTTATTGGTGGAATTCCAGTCATCATTCCAAGAGCAGGATCAAAGTCTAGAAAAGTGAGGAAAGAGAGATAAATAAATGACACAATGCATGGTAAAGAGGAGGCAGACTGCTACATTGTAAACTTCAAATTGAAGGTTGTTCCAAAACAGAAGCACAATATTTACAAAAACATGGTGCTTAGCATTTCCAGGTCTTAAATATTATCTTATAGCTGTGTATTTTCCCTTTGGGATAGGGCTGCTTAGTTCTTTGTTTGTTTGTTTGTTTGTGATCAGGGCCTATTTAAAACTCTGCTTTTCATTTTGACATCTCAGATCTTTCAGAACATGACTGTGCCTTGTCTATTAATTTCATCTCCACTAGTTTCTTTTTATTTTATTATTTTATTTTATTTTTAAAAAGAATTATTTTATTTAGCTTCATTTATTTAATTAATTTATTTTAATTTGACCAAGGAAGGATAGAGAAAGAGAAGTGAAAAAGCAAGCCATCAGCTCCAGGACTCAAACAGTGGTTGGCCATGTGGAAGTCCAGTGGCCTTAAACACCAAGCCACCTGCTGGCCCTGTCCTCCACTAGTTTCTAACACACATCCTCTGCTCCAGCCTTACAAGCTTTCTTGCTGTCCCTTGTACATACTTTCTGCCTTTTCACAATACAACATTGTGTTAAGATCACAGTTTTGGGGGACCAGAGCATAGACAATACATGCTCTGGACTCAAGGTACCTGTCCTGAGGGCACTGCCTGCCCAGTTCAACACTGGAGAGAGACTTAGAAAATAGCAAGGTAGGCATTCAAAATCATGGGGGCTTCTGAGGTGTGGGCCCAGGGCAGGGGCCTTTGAGCTGGATCTAAAGGCAGCACTGATTTCATTGCTTAAATGTTGTCTCTATTGGCCTCACTATAGAACTACACACAGTAGGTTGCTAATGAAGAAAGTATTGCATTAGGCTTTCTGGTAGTACAGAGGTAGTGGCAGTGGCAGTGGCAGTAGAGCAGTATTGGGCTCTATTTCCAAAGAACATTGTGCTTATCTTATAAACCAGAGCAGTGATGCTTGTAAACATGTCTCCTAGGTGGCCCGAAGTTCTCTGAATGGCTCTCTAAGATGCTGGAGGAGGTGGAACTAAACAACGGGAAGAACCTATGGTTCCCACAGAAGCAAAATTTTAAGTTCCACAGGCCCAGCAAGAGAGAGATCTGTGACTGGGCACCTAGGCAAGAAGGTAGCTCATGGGTATTGCTGTTGCAAAACCAGCCCAGGCAAGATAGAGCCTTCTCCATCCTCTCACATCTTATTATCCTGAGAGGTCAAGACCCTTGAAATGTTTGGGAAGAAAAAAATTTCTCCCCAGAAAAATTTTTATTTTTATAGAAGCATTTATTGGGAAAGTCATGACTCATTTTTGCACAGAAAAATACGCCATGACTTTTCCAATGACCCAATACTTTTATCTTTCATATGTCATATGACCTGATGTGCATGTGCACACACACACACACACTCTTCTTTCTGTGCCTTTCATATCTCTACTTCACATGGTACTTATGTGATATTGAGGAAAGTTTTTCAATATCTGTGTTCCTTGACTTCCTTTTTGTTATAAGTAGGGATATATAATGCTATTTAGTTCAAATAATGAAAGGACAACAGATAGGAAAACTTCTGCAGTGGTAGATAGTCCTATATATGTAGTCCTGATAGGACTACTTTCCTTTTATTCAAAACACACAGTGATAAATTCATTGATTCAGGCATTCATTCCCACTTTCCACAAACATTAGTAATAGGTCTCCTATTTGTCAAGCTCTATGCAGGTGACAGGTGTGTGTCTAGGTTTCCTTTTCCAACTTAGAAACTCAAGGCCCTTGATACCTTTATTTCTATGCTGTAGAATAAGAGCACTGTGGTTAGAATGCTATTTATGTCTTTGGAAAATGTGATTTCTTGTACAGAAGATTTTGGAGAAATTGTTAACATTATCTCACCTATTTACAAACTGTTAATTTTCGTTAGGAAAAGATCAGATTAGATTGTGTGCCAACTAAACAATCCCATGTATCTTTTCCCTCCTACTGAAATGTTTGTCTTCTTTTTATTGTTCTGCCTGCCTCCTCATTGTTATTCATATAGCTCTGTCACTCACAGCTCTACCTTACCACAGATTACAGAAACATCAGTTCATTAAACAAGTTCTGCCACTTTCACAGAGAAGGAAATGCCTGTCTCCATGTACCACCTACTAATAAATGGAGACAAACCAAAAACAAATACACTGGATAAATATAACTCCTGACTGATGTACTTACCACTCTGCTGTTTGGTATGATTGCATTAATATTTTATAAATTCATTTAAAAGCAAATATATTCATGACATATGGCTAAAGCCAGAGAGATAAATTCTTCCTCTTGTTCAATATGTCAATAGTTCCATGGGCTACACTGCCCAGCATAGCTTGCTACAGGGTAGATTGTACATGACATTTCAGCTCCTATCACATTGATTATTTCTTTTGTTTGTTTTGAGCCATTAAGCACCAAAATGGAGTGGCTTTTCAATGCCAACTAAGAAAACAACCCTTTGAAATCATGGGCCTTATATGAGTATTATAGAACCTGAAAAATCAAAGAAGTCCAACAGCTTAAAATACACTGAGAATAGAACACCAGAGAAATTTTCTTCCTTTTCTAGGCTCCTGGCCTGGCGTGAGGAATACTGCTAACAAGAATGTTCTATTGCCCCATATGTTTGGGCCAGGCATGGTGGCATGCACCCTATGGCAAAAACTACTGGAGGTTGGAGGATTGTGGCATCGAGCCACGTATATTTGGAATTTAATTTCTGAAGTTTGGAAATCATACAAAAGGGTTGTGAAAAAGGCCAAGGTATTCCTCTAAAGTTCTTTCCATGTAAAATCCCTGTCCTTTTTGTTTTTCTTTTACCATCTCTTCTCCTAGCATCCTTTCTGCACTGCCTTCTTGACTCTTAGCATGGTCAATGTTGGAAGAGCCATAGGTGTTGGTTTGTATTCCCTCTTCTAATTCATGCACTTCCCAAAGTCTCAGCCCATTGGAAATGCTGCCAATGCTATGTGCTAGTCCAGCCAGCTTGCTCTTCAGAATTGCAGCTCTACTGCATGACGTCAAGTAATGTTGCAATGTCTCCGTAAGCTTCCTGCTATCTAACAACTCACACTTACTAAACCTGGCAATATTCTTATCCTACATTCTCTCTCTATGTGTGAACCAGGATTTATGTACTATGGAGGCAAATGTTATGTCTATGCTACTATCCAGTTGTACATACAGCCATCTGTTCAATATTTTGATGTTCTGTCCTGTGACAGATGATTGGGTCAAAGGAGTGAGTAAGACAAAATATTTGACCTTAAAATCTATTGATAGTTTCGAAAGAGTCATGCAAACAGTTAAAACATTGCATCATCAATGATCATTATTTCTGTATTGTTTATTGGGTCCTTACAATGCGCTAGACATGTGACCTGTTCCTATTATTTTTCATTTTGTAGATAAAGAAACTGGGGCTCAAAGAGGTTTAGTTACTTGCTCAAGTTTACATATCTAGTAAGAGGCAGACCATCTAGCTTGGTCTAACTCTAATGTTCTTAACCACTGACTATACTACCTTGCTGACTATACTACCCTGTACTCTGATAATAATTTTTTTCTCTTCTTTTTAATTACCAGAAGGTGCATGTGCTTGCCAAAGGGAGACAGAGAGAAAGAAAGCACCTTTTACTGGAGCATAGTCACCCTGCAATCCCTTCTCCATTTCTCCATCCTGTAGGGATTTTGGGCACACACGCACATATATTGTTCAAGCTGCTGGGACAGTGATTCAAACTGCAATTGGCCATGTGGGATCTGGCTCCCTTAAGCCACTAGGCCACAGGGCTGGGTTGAAAATTGTTTTATCTCATCTTTTTTTGTTTTAGTTTTTTAGTTTGCCAGAGGGAATGTTTGCTCACCAGAAAGAGAGAGAGACAGAAAGAGAGTCTCCTCCATTTCTTCCTCCATTTGGGACTTTGAGTATGCAAGGACACACACCCAAGTATGTTTTTTAAGCCACCAGGTCCAGGACTAGAACTTCATGGCAGGCTATGTAGGATTCAACTCCCCTAACCCCTAGGCTATGTAGGGGCTGGCCTGACAATTGTAGTGGATTGGAGGTAGATATAAATTCTTTGACACTCCTTCCATTAGATCTTGGGATCTGGCCCAGCCACTGTGGTGCACCTAGTCAGTAGCATACCAAACTACAGTGTTGAAAGTCACATGGCTGACTGTGATACAGATCCCTGGCCTAAATGATCTGAAATATGCCAGGTGTGTATGTGTATCTTCAGGATCCTGATGAGCTGAAGAGCTGGGGAAAGGAAATCACGGTGTGGCAGTGTGACAAGTCCCTGTTAAGGATACTTTTCTCTCTTTCTTCCTCCCCTCCGCTCCCTCTCCTCATGTGTGCACACACTCTCTTATCATGAATTAAAGAGAGAGAGAGAGTTGGAGTCTATGCCTCATCCTTGAATCTTGATAGGCTATATAACTACTTTGACTAATAGAATATGGCAGAAGTTAGGTTGTGTCCTTTTTTAGACCCAGGACTTAAAGAGAAATGTAATTTCCACTTTTCTGTTTCAGAGAATATGTGGTATGGAAACTTTGAGTCCACATAAGACCATTTGACTACTATTCTAGAAAGACCATGTGGAGAGGGCCTTACAGTAAATGGAAATGGAGGGAGATCTAGCTAAGTACAGTCATATACCTGTCCTTCTCAAGGACATTAGAGAATATTATTATTAATTATATTTTTATTCTCTATGTTGTAGATGAGGCAATTGAAGCTCATAGAGATATAGTAAGGTCCCAACAGTAGGTGGATCTTTTTGAATTTGATTCTTTCTTTCTTTTTGTAGAGGGCACATATGGTCACCAGAGAGACAGAGGGACAGGGAAAGGAGAAAGTACCCCAAATGGGGGGCTGGTGATGCTGCCATCCTTTCTGCTCTAACCCTCC